AGTTTGACACCACTTTAACTGCCATGGCTCAATGCTGTGTAATTCTGGGAATTGTAGTTTGTTGTGGCACCAGAGCTGTCTTACAGAAAAGGCTAAATATCTCACAAAACTACAAATCCCAGAATTCCATAGCATTGAGTTATGGCAGTTAAAGTGGTGTTAGACTAGCGTAGATGCAACCAAGGTTAGCCTAAACTGGGGAATCTTGGAAATTACAAGAGGTTCTTAAAGCTTTTTTTTTTTTTTAAAGCAAGGATATAAATCTCACAGCTACTGTTCCCAAGAACCCCCATCAAAACAATATTCAGTATTCAATAGCAATAACCAAACCAGTCAGGTGCTAGATTTAGAACTACCATATATACTCATCTATAGGTTGACCTTGTGTTTAAGTTGAGGGTAGGTTTTGGGCCCAAAAATCTGGATTTTTATATGCCCTGTGGATAAGTTGAGGGTAAAATTGAAGGACCTGAGTGCCAGAGCACTCTGACAGAGAAGGCTAAATGTCTCACAAAACTACAGTTCCCAGAATTCAATAGCATTGAGCCATGGCAGTTAAAATGGAGTCAAACTGGATTATTTCTGCAGTGCGGATGCAACCTTAGTGATCCATGATCCCATGCTCACTCTACCAGACTGTCATGCTAACCTCTCCTCCTTCCCCATGTATACCCTACTCAGAGCATGTGTACCTTTCATTTTTTTTAATTTTTGCCACAATTGTGTGATTATGGCAAAACAATAAAACTGAAAGAAAAGAAATAGAAATAGAAAAAGGAAAGGGAAATGAAGTAAAAATAACCTCAGCCTGCTTGGAAATGGGGGGGGGGAGGATCATGGCCAGTCATACTATAAGACTGCTAAAATATTGGAATTTCAGTGTAAGGGACCTATTGCACCAGAGCCAGTAGTGGAAAAGCAGCCATATTGGGATCCATTGATTTTTTTTTTCCTCCCATCAGTGAAAAAGTGTGCTTCATCAACTATTGAAATACAAAGCAGCAACAGGAGAGACACAACGTCATCTGATAAGTACATTGTGTGATAAACATTATGTGAAAAAGTGCAAAGAAGACAAACCTAATCCAGTTATACCAAACAAATCCAGACATAGCATAATGCTAGGCCATGCAAGATCATCATTGGAAAGCTGAAATAGGCCATTCTGTACTACAAAACTACTACAATTACTGAAACCATTACACTATAATCCAGTAGGCCCTCAGCAAACAAAATGTTGTCTCTCATTATTGTCTGCTAAGCAATATTGCACTTGTCCCTCCACATTTGTTGCTTTGACTTTTGCAGATTTGATTATTCACGGATTTTATTAATATGTTCTCTCTAGGAATATTTAGGTCCTCCTGTGCAACTCTATGGTCAATTTTAACCAAAAGTCACATTGAAGGAGCTAGAGATTCCTAGAGAGAACACTCCACTAGGCATTTGTAGCTTCTCCAGTGCAGTTCTATGGTCACTGTCTAGCAGATGTTGACCAGAGAGTTGCACTGGAAAACCTATTGATTCCTAGACAGGCATTCTCTCAGGTAAAAACACAATGTTTTTGTTATTTGCAATTTTTCCACATACACAGGGGTCCTTTGTCCCTGTGGAGGGACAATGTATATTGATATAACTCAAATAATTGTTACAAGGATTACTGAAAGGAGGTATGTGGTAAGGATGTAATTCTTCATTATTTATTTATTTTTATCCCACCTTTCCTCCAAGGTGGGACCCAAGCCAGCTAACAATATATATAAAACACATTAAAGCAACAATTAAAATAGTACAGTTAAAACCATAAAAATATAAAATTTACAAATATAAAATTTAAAACAGAGTTTAACATAATAATGATCTAAAACTAACCCCCATCCCCCAATGGAAGCATCAATCCTCAATCAAAGGAAGCATTGAGTAATTTGTGCAATTTCCTTCCCACTGCAAGTAAATCTTTAAAAAAATATGCAGTTTTCTATGACTATTTACAGTTTGAGACTGACAGGTATTCTACACAAAATTCACATGTAGGGATTTTTGTACAGGAAACAACATTTTCTGCAGAGAAATATTATTTTTGTGCAGAGAATATTGTTTCCTGCAAAAACAATGCCATTTCTGTGCCATATTTACTGTTGTTATTGTTGTTTTGGCAGAAAAATCCCCAAACTGCAAAGATTCTCATCAGTACATGGTTCTCCTCATCAGAATTTCTTTACAGGTTTTTGGTCCATTTCCCCAATATTTTCAAATATCATTTTCATTCTAATATGTGATGTGTCCTGACCATCTATTAAGATCCATATAGAAATTCAGGGTTATTTTGATTAAATTTGCAGCAACAAAATGACAGATGCTATTTTAGATGTATTGTCAATAGACAAAACTCAGCAGGGTTGGACAAATATGATGGAGCCATGGACTACTTCCCAGGTTGGCCAAACAAAAACAAACTATCCCACAATCTTTTGAGAGGAGTAGATTTTAGTTAAAATAAATAAAGATTAACGGTCTCACTTTCTCTTTCTCTTGTACAAAGTGGCCAGAATTAATTAAAATAAATTCTTCATTAAATATTAAATTCATTAAAAGTTTCCTCCACTAGTTATTAACAAATACATGTTCTTAAACTGATTTTAATTAATATAATATTGGCTGGAATTCATGAGTTCAATTACAAATGTATAACCCACACTTGTACATCAATAACTGATTCATAATAATAATAATAATAAAATTTATTTATACCCCGCTTAAATGAAGACAATCTATGATTCCTATATATTTATAATTGTATCAATAACAAATACATACTGTATTCTAGTATGTACTCAGCCATATTTTTCTGAGGAATTTATCTTCGTTAAAATGCCTTGTTGGCTTGCAGCATACTTATAGACTTCTGAGCCAGACAAGGGTTAAAAATTGTAATTTACTAGCAACAAACCCTTGACTGAATTTACATTTAAATTACACCTTTCATTTGTCCATTGTGCTGGGGGGAAAAAAACTTTCAACATTTACACTGTGTCCTCAAGCAGGCCATTGCCTAACATTTTGCTGTCCTTTCCTCCTCTGAGAAATAACACACCCTGAGCTCTGGGGGCAAGTCTTGTCTTCTGCTGCTCCTAAGAAAAAGAACTTTAGATCCATCCTATTCCCTCTGTTTGCTGTGAGGACAGGCTGTCAAGCAGATGCATTTATTGCAGGGGAACAGCAAATGTGGTGCTATTCAATGGGCTGCTGTATCGTGCTCAGAATGGAGGACATTTGGGAATTCCTCCTAGACAGAAAGAAATGTCCTGGAAAAGGAGGAAGTCTGATCACCCTGTGCTTAAATTAGTTGCTGATCTAGAATCTTGGTTTTAATCTATACTATTGACTATTAATATTTAACTAAATGAAATGAATCTGACTATGATGTTGACTGCCCTATTAGCTATAGTACAGTTAGTTCCTTTCGTCATTAATTATACTGCATGAAATAGTTTGTCACCAAATTTTGGTGGCAGACTATAATGCCAATTCAAAATATATTCTGGGGGACACTGGGGGGGGGGGTGTACCAAAAAGGACCCTGGGGCTATATTTTTGCCATTCAGGCATGGTCTAATAATCTGTACTACTTAATTCATGAAAGATGCAGATTGAAAATTTAGGTCAGGAAGAGTATTATTGACTTCCCAAGGTCCCATTGATTCAAAAATAGATCTATGCTAGTCCAGACAAACAACTGGGTTTAGGCCTACATCTCTTCTGAGATTAACATTGCACCTGTGTTCTTGAAGCTGCCATTTCAGAAATTCCAGAGTTTCAAATTAATTGGTTACAAATACTTGGTTACTTTCAAATAATTTTGCAATAATTAGATCATAATGCAGTTCACTTTTCTATTTGCTGTCTTCACATTCCTTTGGGAACTTTGCCTCTCCTTTTCCTTTGAATGCCTAAATTGTATTCTTAAACGCTCACCTGTTATTCTAATGCTGGAAATATAAAAGGAATATTTTATTTGGAGGGACAGAATTCTTATGTGGGACAATTTTATTTTGCCACTCATAGTTATACCCTGGACTTAGTTGTACTGTATAATTAAAGAGGCTGTAAAGGTAGCGAAAGAGAGACAGAGTGGTGGAATGGTTTGAACTTTAGACTGTGACTCTGTAGACCAGAGTTCAAATCCTGGCTTGGCCATGAAAACCCATTGGGTGACCCTAGGCAAGTCACACCCTCTCAGCCTCAGGGGAAAGCAATGGTGAATGCCCTCTGAACAACTCTTGCTTGAAAATCAAATGATAGGGTCACCATAAATCAGAAATGACTGGAAGGCACACAACAACAAACAACAAATAAACAGGCCTCACTAAATGGTGTTGAGAAGAATGTCACATGGTTTGAGACAGTGGTACCATGTGCTGGCCTCATGCTATTGCCTCATGTTTTGTTGAGGTTACTGAGGTGATGATGAAGTGCTGATGAGAAATGTTTTGTACTTAAAGTGATCAGTGCAGGAGTCATTATATCAATTACTTTCTAAATAGTTACACTTATCTATTTATATAATTACTGTTTTAAAGTACCAAGATCTTAGTTAGTGAGCAGGTGAGGGGAAGTGGGCGGGGTGGTGGGGTGGCTCT